GGGGTTTAAATTCTGCCCCTGATACACACACTTCTTGTACAAGTCACTTAACTTCCCTTCTCATTGATACAATAAGAAAGTTCACTAGATGGCTTTTAAGGTCCCATTTAGTACTATATCCTGATTCCATAATGATAATCCGTGATCTTGTACAAGCCTTACGACAATTCCATGAGAGATCAGCAAGTGTAATTATCCCTGTTTTATAGAGAAGGAAACTGAAGTTCAGAGAGTGATTTGGCCAAGGTTATATGGCTAGTAATAGGCTCAGGACACAGAAAACCTAAGTCTTCCATTCCCCGTCTTTGTCACTCTCATGCTCCCTAGACCAGAAATGAATAGGATATTCTTGTCTCTAATTGTCTGTAGGAGTCTGTGGAAACCTATAGATTACCTATAGCTCTTATGTGGCCAATTATAGAAAGGCAAATGGCATCATAGTACAGCCCCTTCTTCTCTTACAATTCCTTTTCATCCATTTGTGATACCTCTCTTCTGCAACAAACCTATTTACTCTTCTTTCCAGACATGTGGGCTCTAGCTGCCTTGATCAAGGACATCCATGACGTTCATTTGAAAGAAGTTCACTTCCATTAAGGTGCTGGGCAGGTGAAGGATTCTGAATATCCTGATTTACCTTGGGCCTCTAGCCTGTGCCTCTCTTTCCTCACACCCACATAAGTCCTAAAAATAGCACTGTCCACCTGTCCTTTCAACACTCCCCCAGTAGTGCTTTTGTTTCTGGGCAGCTTCAGGTACACAGACCAGAGCAGGGCTGAGGCATCCAGGCCTACTCAGAGCCACAAATTTTCTAATGGTCACTTCGCATTTAGGCAAAGGCAGAGAGTATTTTGTCCATGCTAAAATAATTGCCAAGGGTGCTGTGGGAATCAAAACTTCTTTTGCTGGCTCTTCATCTTTCCTCCACCCCTTCAACATGGATGTCCCCCAAGGCTCTGTCCTTGGCCTTCTTTTCTCTCTCCCCTCCCCTTCAGTGCTTTCATCCACCTATTCCCAAGGCTTCCAAGTATCAACTGTATTCAGATGACTCTCAAATCCTTATCTCCACCCCACCCCCCAAACCACTTCCCAGTCTTCTGGTTCTGTATTTCCATCTGCCTTCTAGATGTCACTAACCAGATATCCTGCTGTCAACTCAAACTCAACAGTACCAACTTGAGTCACAGAATCATGGCATTTCTGAATTAGAAGGGATTTCAGTGGCCACCAAGATCAAACTATAACCCACCAGGAGAATTAGCTCTACTTGTCATGGGGTCATCTAGTATTTCCTTGAAGACCTTCAGTGAAGGGGAAATACCACCTCCCAAGCCAATCCATCTTGCTTTTGAATTATTATTAGAAAGTTCATCTTTCTATCAAGAGTAAATTTAGGTAGTTTTCCAATGAAGAAATCAAAATAATTTATAGTCATATGAAAAAAATGTTCTAAATCATTATTGGAGAAATGCAAATTAAAACAACCTTGAGATATCATTTTACACCTACCAGATTAGCTAACATAATCGAAGAGGAAAGCAACAAATGTTGGAGGGGTTGTGGAAAAATTGGAACACATTCATTGTTGCTGGAATTGTGAACTGATTCAACCATTTTGGAGAGCAGTCTGTAATTATTCCCCAAAAGTTATTAAACTAAAGCATTTGATCCAGCAATACTAGTATCAGATCTATTTCCAAAGATGATTAGGGAAAAAGAAAAGGAACCTCTATGTTCTAAAATGTTTTTAGCAGCTCTCTTTGTGGTGGCAAAGAACAGGAAATTGCAGGGATGCACATCAATTGGGAAATGCCTAAACAAGCTGTGGTGTATGACAGTGATGGAGTGCTATTGTGCTATAAGAAATGATGAGCTCAGTGATCTTAGAAAAACATGGACAGACTGGCAAGAGATAAATAAGAGCAAAATAAGCAGAACCACGAGAACATTGTATACATTAACAACAATATTGTTTTAAGAACAACTTTGAGTGAATAAGTTATTGAGACTATTATAAATACCCGAATTAACTATAAAGGACATATGAAGAAAGATGCTATCTGCATCCAGAGAAAGAACTGATAAATAGCTGTATAGAATACATGTGTATGTATATGTATGCATACACACATAAACACACACACACACACACACACACACACACACATATATACACACACACACACATACACACACATCTATTTGTGTCTAATGGTAGCCATCTGTAGGGAGAGGTGAAGGGAGGATACAAAAAAAAGAAATTTACATGATAATTTTGTTGTATATTTGAAAGGAATAGCAAGTTATGCTTAGCAGGTTTGCAGTTTTATGTACAATCATCTTTTTATTGTACTATGTTATGGAAATGCTTCTTTTATTTCATAAATAGGTGTTAATGTTAAAAAAAAAAGAAGAGTAAATTTGCTTTTTGGGAGGCAACTTTCATTCATTGCTCTTAGTAATGCTTTCTGGGGGTCAAACAGAGCAAGTTGAATCCACATTCCAAACAACTGTTTTTCAAATACTTGAAGACAGCTGTCCATGACCCTGAGTCTTCTCCAATATGAATATTTCAAGTTCCTTCAAGTTATTCTCACATGTCCTGAACTCAAGACCCTATACTTTCCTGATTAATCTCCACTGGTCTTTTCAATGTCCTTCCTAAAAATGTCATCCCCAGAACTAAGCACAATACTCCAGATGAGGAGAAGCAGAATACAATGCAGCTATTATCTCTTTATTCCTGAAATGCCCAGAAGCTGTCTTGCTTAATGCATCCATCACACTTTCATACTTGGTAACATTTGATTCAGCAAAGCAAGATGCTACCTTAAAGGCTGCCTACCTTCAACAGGGTGTCTCCCTTACATGTCAAAATCATTCTTTATTTCTTAATTTTTTTTAACTTTGATCATTATTAAATTTATTATTATTATTATTATTATTATTATTATTATTATTATTATTATGGGAGGAATAAAAACAGGGAGATATATATTCCTTAAAAGAGCTTGCCAATGTCATGGAATACATTGAATGCAGAGTCCAAATGGAAAATGCAGCTACAGCAGCCCAAAGGGAAAAGTGCTGAATTTGAAGTCAGGAAAACCCAAGTTCAAATCCTACGTGGTACATTAGTTTTGTGTCCCTAGTCAAGTCAGTTGACCTCCCTCAGCTTCAGTTTCCTGATTTGTATAAAAAGGGAACTACATTTAATAGCCTTTAAGGTCCTGTCCAGCCCCAAAATTATGATCCTGTGATTATGAAAAGTGATTCTCTGTAGATGGTGAGGTCCTTGAAACCTTCTCTGCAGACGACAGGAAATGATTCTAGAATGTTGCAGATTGTTCTAAATGAGATTCAAAAGAGCTTATCCTAACTATTCACACAGCTAATACACAATGAAAGAAGACATTTTGCCCATACTATGATATATGGTTGGATAAACATAGAGCTTGGCCATCAGTTCATATATCTTAGACATTGTTCATAAATAATGAGCCTAGAACTGAATAGGAAGAAGAGTTGAGACTTTGCCTTTTGGAGGTCATACAGTGCTTTTGATGGCCTCAAGTTTCTCCCTAAGGTCAAGATCAATTTTTTCAACAAAAATGCTCTTCTGGTAACACCGTATGGTTTCAAGACACTTCCACCATCATATATATCCCTCCCACTCCTTAAAAACCAATCTGCCCCTTCTCCTAACTTCCATGTTACTGTTGATGGCACCACCATCTTCCAGTACCCCAAGTTTAAAGTTCCACTTCCAAAACATGCAGTTCATCTGTCCCTTCATCTGTATTCTCTGAGAGGCCATTTTAATACAATCCTTTGTTAATTCTGTCTAGGACTTTTGAAGGAGCCTCAAAGGATCATAAATTCAGAGCTAGCATGAATGTTAGATGTCATCCAATCCAACCATATCATTTTACAAATGAGAGAGTTGAGGTCCAGAAAAATTAAGTGACACAGACAATACCTACAAGGTCTAGGGATCATGGAAGACACCAGTCAAGAAGCATTATTGAGAGCTTGCTATGTTTCAATCCCTGTGTTGAATCCTGGAGATGCAAAAAAACAAGAACAAAAACCAAAAAAAAACAACTAAATTGTTTTTTTTGTGATCAATCACAGCAGGGAAAATGGAACTCATAGGAAGTTGTTTCCTCAGCTAGAGTTTGTCAATTCTCAGCTCCATATGGGCAAGGTAACCTTCCTCTGGCCCCCTGTTCATACAAGATGTGAGAGTGTGTTCTTTTCCTGGTCTGATTCTCACTGAGTGGTATAAGGGGCTGTTCACAGAAACTTCCACTCTGAGACTTTGCCCAAAGAATGACTCAGCTCCATATACACCCAAACCATTAGGTAAAACATGTAGGTTTTTAGCAGGTTGTATAGACAGTCCTGCCCTGAGTCAATCAGTAGTTTTTCCCCATAAAAGATTACTAAGAATCAAGAGATTCCATTCAGAATCCTGTTATCACCTCATATTGCTGGCAACTTTTCCTATAACACTCCTTTTAGGCAAAAGTTTTCCTTCTTTCTGTCTGTACATTGGACAAACCTGAAGGTTTAGTGGTGTTTTGTTTGTTTTTTGTTTTTCCTCTACTGACATCGATGGGTAGATGGAGAGGTGTGGAGAGAAGTTGAAGCTTGTTAAGAGCTGAAATGTTCCTTATGGCTGGTGGCTATCTGTAGAAAAAAATTCCTGAATAATTTTTAAAACGTGAATTTTTTTAGGATGTCATTCCAAACACTTTTTTTAAAATTCCCATTGAGAGTAGGTGGTATAAAATCTCTCCACTGTCCAATGCTCATTGCTGCTCCTCTGACTACAGAATTTCATAACCAGAGGATCAATGACTACTCACTATGGTTAGCATAATGACCATCTGAGTGGAGGAGCTGTGGTTGTGTGCTCTGCTGTCTCCCTGCTGAGGTAGAGAGGTACCTGAGGGCTTGTCCTTTCTTATTTACCTTCCTCCCTTTAACAAAAACAGGAAAATGGTGTGCTCAGAATCCTGTTAATGCCGCACAAAGAAGAACAAATCTCCCAGAGTCGAAGGCAGGCAGTGCATAAGCAGAGAGAAGGCAGCATGGGAAGTCATTCACCGTCCATCCAGAAAGAGGCGGTATTATTTTTTTTTCAATCTTGTACTCTTAAATACGATATCCTAATGCACAGCACATGCTGAGCCATGGTGAGACATGTCGGCGCCCAGAGCAGGATGTCAATTCCCTTCTCCTCCCTTAATTACACCATCTCAATTGAGGGGCTCACTTGGGAAGCTCCATCTGTTTGTCCCCTTTCAGCGCCCTCACATGTGACTCTCAGGAGCATTAAGGCCTATTTCTAACATCATCATCACCCCAAAAGACATGAGCTAGGCCATAGAGGTGACTTTAATGTACATCTTAGAAGCTTTGTTTTTTGCATTTCAAATAGATATAGGTGTACTTCAAATTGCATAATCGGTGCATTCCTGGAAAGCTGTGTGTATATTATACATTTCAAAAATAAACTTTGCCATTTTATTTATATTGTGCAAGAGAAGGGTCTGTCATTTAAAGGTAAACTGCAAATAATCCTCTTATAAAGTGGAAAACCCTTTTGTAATGAGTATAACTACTTTGTAATTTATCTGCTCCAGAAATTCAAGGGTTTTTAAAATTTGTTTGTTTTGGGGTTTTTTCCCCAAATATGGAATTTGATTTCACAATATTAATATTAAATTGCTTGATTTCTCATTCATATTATTTATTATGCTTCTATCCCTCTTGCTTAATTAATAGTAACTAGACCCTATCAGTTTTACCTGCCATTCTGAAAGTGATTAAAAGTGTTTTCCAGGGGAAGCGGTATCTAATTAGCCAAGCACCACAATACCACTGTGCAAACAGTACCCAGCATAGTATCTTGACATAGCAGACACCCAATGATGAACATTCATTGAATCAATGAATCAATGAGCAAATGGATGAATGAAACACAAACATTGCCTCATTTGAGACCTCAAAGCCAGTATGAACAATTGAGAGGAAATTCAAGAAAAATGTATGCTGGAGTACCATGCATGATAGACAAAAGGTATTCAAAGAATGGAATCCACATACTCTAGGCTACTGTGTTTGGTTTCTATTGCTGGGAAAATTCTAGAATAGAACATTAAGGAGATGGTGAATTTTTAATGAATGTCTGTAAACAGAAGAGGTGATCCCAAAGAGCCAGCATGGCTTTATCAAGCATAGGAAATGACCCACTCACTACCTTTAATCCTTTTTTTGACAATGTTGCTAAGCTGACAGGCCAGGCTAATTCTGCAAATAGTATCTGCCTAAATTTTAGCAAAGCATTTGACAAAGTCTCTTACACTATTCTTCTGGAAATGATGTAGACAATGGCGTGATGTGGCAGTCAAGAAAACTATGGTAATAAATATTAGGCTTTGCTAAGAGACTCCTGACTTTCAGCAAGAAGAGAATGACAATTCTTTCTATACTTGACCTGCTCAGACCACATCTGCATTATTACATACTGGTTGGAGGTCCACATTTCTGGAAAGACATGCAGAGGAGAGCAACTAGAATGGGGAAGAGCCTTGAATGAATGCCTTAGGATGATAAGTTAGAGGAACTAGGAATGTTTAGCCTGAAGAAGAGAAGACTTGGGCTGGGGAAGGGGAAGGGGAGGAGATGTGACAGATGTAGACAAATATTGGAAGGGCTGTCATTTGGAAGAAGGATTAGAATTGATCTGCTGGATTCCAGAGGGCATTACTAGGAATCACAGGTAAAAATTACAAATAAGCAAATTTGGGTTTGATATAAAGAAAAAACTTCCAAATAATTCAAGCTATCCAAAAAAGAAATGAGCCACATTGGGGCAGTAGCACCTTCTTTATCACTGGCAATCTTCAGGCATAGGCTGGACTGTATGGCCACTCAGTAATCTTCCAGTATTCTTCTGTGATCCTATACCTATGTACAGTCCAATGTTCAGAGGGGACTCCCAAAGCCGGTTTTTGACACCTTCTCACATACCTAAGACAGGTTTGACTGCCTCTGCTATGAATAGCACAGAGAAGAATGCAAGAGAAAGGTACTTAGAATGCAGTAGAAAATATGTTGGATTTCAAAACCATAGGATCAGGGTTCAAATCCCGGCTCTTGAACTTACTTCCAGCTTGACCTTGGACCACTTCCCTGGACCTCAGTTTTCTCAACTGTAAAGTGAGTATAGTAAACTAGATGACCTTAGAGTTCCCTTCAGTTCTCCCCTGCTTACCATGAAGGTGAGACATAGAGATGCCAAGCAATTACAGAAGAATACAAAAGAGCACAGGGAAAGCTTGATTTTAACCAGAGTGCTCAGGCACTTGAACATTTTCGGTTCAATTCAATCCAGCAAACGTTTTGATTCATTTAACTTTCTGGTTAAGCTCAAAATCTTTTTTTTTGAGTCCTGTTGTTGAAAGCCTTTCTAAAATGTTTTAGTCCAAGCACTGTAGCCTGGATATAATTGAACTTTTGAAGACTCAGATGTTCTCAGGTCATCATTCTTAATTAATGTTACCTGTCTCAGATGTTCCCAGGTCATCATTCTTAATTAATGTTACCTGTCAGTATAAAGCGTTGTGGATATAAAAGGGTTTGGGAATAAGATAAGATCTAGATTGATTTATGAATGTATTCTGGAAGTTGGGGTGGGGGAGTCCTACCCATTTAACTAAATCACTGATTTTATTGTTGATTTTGCCCTTCATTCGTCTAGGTAGTTATTAAAGCACTGGCTGAAGAACTAGAAAGAATTGGGCTCAAATCTGTCTCTAACAAGTACTGGCTGGGTGACACCAAATGAGTCCTTTACCCTCAGTGTATTAGTTGTTGTGTAGTCATGCCTGACTCTCTGTGACCCCATTTAGGGTTTTCTTGGCAAAGATACTAAAGTGGTTGGCCATTGCCTTCTCCAGCTCATTTGACAGATGAGGAAATTGAGGCAAACAGGGTTAAGCAACTTGCCCAGGGTCATATAGCTAGCAAGTGTCTGAGACCAGACTTGAACTCAGGAAAATAATTATTCCTGACTCCAGGCACTTTGGTCACTGTGCCACCTAGCTGTCTCCAATGCACAAGCAACTGTCTCAGAGTATAAGTTGCAGACAAGACATGAGCCTGTTTTGGTAAGAGCTCTTGTTTCCTTCTAGGAGATTTCCAATTCCCACTTTTTATGGGCTTCTTGATTACCTCTTAATTCCAGTACTTTTCCTCTGCTCATTATCTCCAAGTTATCCTCTATACAGCTTGTTTGTACATACTTCTTTATATGTTTGTCTCTCCCATTAGAACGCTGAGCTCTTTGAGAACATCCTTGAAAGGAACTGTCTTTTGTCTTTCTTTGGATTGCCAGCACTAAGCATAGTGCCTAGCACATAGAAAGAGCTTATTAAGTATTTATTGACTGACTGTACCAATGAAATCACAGTTCCAGTCCCTATTCATTCAGCAAACATTTAAGAGATCCTGTTGTCTGTAAGACAGGCTAAGTGCTGTTTTTGCAGTAATTGTGCTGCAGCGTGTGACTAGGATCCTGTTTCCTTGAAAGCAGGGTAGCTTCCCTGGAAAGCATTTGTTGTGATTTGCATTTTTATCCTAAAAATAGAATTCAGAGAATTTCTTGGTAATTCAATTCAATTTATTAAGCATTAACCACTTTCCAGACATTGTGGTTGGTACTGGAGATACAGAGATGAAAAGCAGCACACAATTCCCCAACTCAAGGACTTTTTATGCTATTGGAAAGGACATATGCAGCCATAATCACGTTACAGAATAGAAGGTGATGGGGGGAGCGGGGGAGGAGAAATCCAAGTAGTGTTCTAAGAAAATTAAAGGAAAGCAAAATCCTTTGAAGTTGGAGGTGGAGGGGTAAGCATGAAAGGCTCCAAGGAGGAAGTACCACCTGAACTGGTTTTTGAGAAAGAAGAGTATGTGAATAGGGGATGATCAGAAGGTGCATTCCAGGTATGAGAAATGGCCTTCACAACATGGAGATGAAAGAGGACAGGGCAAGAGAGGAGAATAGCAAGAAATCCAGTTTGACCCAACCATAGGATACATGAAGGAGAGAGGCATGAAATAAGCCTGAAGACACAGTTGGGAACCTGGTTTGGGAGGCTATTAAATGCTAATCTGAATTTCTATTCTATCCAGTAAGTAACAGCATAACAACTAGGTCATTGAAGAATCATAGATTTAGAGCTAGATGGGATTTGGAAGGTCATCAAGTCCAGAGGCTCAGGTTGGTTAAAGGGATTGTAGTCTAAGAGCAAACTTAATTAAGTAATGTGGATATTTCACCTTGTTGTTAAGTCGTTTCAATCATGTCCAACTCTGTGATCACATTTCAGGGTTTTCTTGGCAAAGATGCTGGAGCAGTTTACCATTTCCTTCTCCACCTTATTTTACAAATGAGAAACTGAGGCAGAGAAAGTTAAGTGACTTGTCTGGGATCACACAGCTAGTCAACTGATGCCAAGCTAGTGCTCTATCCACTGTGCCACCTAGCTGCCCCAATATTCCACATAACCTCTCCTTCTAGCCATAACATTCTGACCTCTCATCTTTCTCAAGAATACGTAGTTTTCCTTTTTTTCATTCACCAATTTTTTCTCCAGGGACCACAGTCTTGTTTCTCTCCACTTTCCAAAACTCTGGGCTTTAGCAAGCTTTCAAGCAGTAAAATACAATTTTCCCTTCAGAATGTAAACTCCGAAAGAATAGGGATCCTTTCATTCTTTGTATAAACATCCCCAGCACCTAGCATAGGGCCTGGTATATAGTAGGTACTCAATAAATATTTGTTGATTAATTGGTTGAAATTAGGCTTATGATTTTAAGCTTCTTGTATTTTCATTTATTGCTTACAATTGTCTTGTCTCCTCGCTATCTCTCCCGTTAAATTGTAAGCCTCTTAGGTGCTCCTAAGTAGGCTTCTACTCTCTTTTACCATTGGTGCTTCCCAGCTTTAATAACAACTGAGCAAACTGATAACTCCATATCATTGGCCCTCTTTGAAAACAAAGGATTAACAACAA